TCCTTTCTCCTTCCCCCCCACTACTGTTTTGTTTTTGACCACTACTTCCATCAGTCTCTCCTCCCTTCTATTATCCCTTTCCCTTTTCTTCCCCTTTGCCCTTACTCCTTCTTCCCTTCCTTCTATCTCCCCTCCCCTTTCTTTCCCATTTTCCTTCCTACTGCCTATATGACAAGTTAGATTTCTATGCCTAACTGATTGTTATTTCCTTCTTTAGCCAAATCCAATGAGAGTAATTTTCAAACAATGCTCATCCCCTTCCCTTCTTTCCCTCTGCTATATAGGATTTTCTGTCTGCTTCCTCCCTTCTCAGTACATTTTCTAAGATCAGACTAATCCACTTACTTGGATCCATTTAACCCACTTGATTAGATTTTTTTATCATTACATCAAAGTCAACTAATATCCACCCTCTTTATGTATATCCTTCAACATGGTGTATTAACAATACAGTTCTCAAGAATTGCAAATGTCATCTCCCCTTGTAGGGATGTAAACAGTCTGCCTTTATTAACAACAGTTTGTATCTTTCTATCCCATTGACCTTTTTATATCTTTCTTGAATCTTGTACTTGAAGATTAAATTTTTTGTTGAGCTCTGGTCTTTTTATGAGGAAGGTTTGGAAGTCTCCTATTTCGTTGAATATCCATCTCCTCCCTTGAAAAATCATGCTCATTTTTGCAGGGTAGTTGATCCTTGGCTGCAATCCCAGCTCCTTTGCCTTATTGAATATTATGTTCCACGCCCTATGGTCTTTTAATATAGAAGCTGCAAGGTCCTGAGTAATCCTGACTGTGGTTCCATGATATTTAAATTGTTTCTTTCTGGCTGCTTGCAGCACCTTCTCTTTCATCTGGTAATTTTGGAATTTTGCTATTATATTCCTTGGCATTGTCAATTTGGGATCTCTTTCAGGTGGTGAGCATTGTATTCTTTCTATGGTTATTTTACCTTCTGGTTCTAGGGCTTCCAGGCAGTTTTCCTTTATGATTTCCTGGAAGATACTGATCATGATTTTCAGGTAGTCCAATGATTTTTAAATTGTCTCTCCTGGCTCTATTTTCCAGGTTGGTTGTTTTACCTATAAGGTATTTAATGTTTTCATCTATGTTTTCATTTTTTTCTTTCTGTTTGACTGATTCTTGCTCTCTCATAGAGTCATTAGTTTCTATTTGTCCAATTCTAGTTTTTAACAGATTGTTTTCTTCTGTTAGTTTTTGTACTTCCTTCTTCAATTGGCCAATTGTATTTTTAAGGGATTTGTTTTCTTCAGTGTACTTTTTTTCCAGTTTGCCAATTGTGTTTTTTAGGGACTTGTTTTCTTCAGTGTACTTTTTTTCCAATTGGCCAATTGTATTTTTTAAGGACTCTTCTACCTCTCTCATTAGACTTTTAAAATCCTTCTTGAGCTCTTCTAAGAAGGCTTTTTGGGCTTCAGACCAGTTCATATTCCCTTTTGAGGTTGCAGATGTGGGTTTGTTGACAATGTTGTCTTCTTCAGAATTTCTGTCTTGATCTTAACTCTTCTCATAATATGAATGTATGGTATGTTTCTTTTTACTCATGGTTTCTTTATTCCCTGACCTTTAAAGAGATTGAGCTGTCCTGCTCAGGGACAGAGGGCACTGACCCAAGCTTCTTGTGTTGGGAGCCTAGGTCTTGGTTGCTGGCTTTGTGTGCTGGGGCCTCTTATGTTGGCAATTGGAGGCTGTAGGGTTTTGGCAGCTTACCTCATGTTGGGCTGGAATCAGCAAGGCTGGAACTTTCAGGCAATTCTAGGTTGCCTGCTTTTCCTTTCCTTTAGCTTCTTCAGCTCCTTTTAGATGGGTGCTGCAGGGTGTTTATCTGCCTGGGGCCCTTGCAATGCTGCCTCCCTTGCTTTTGCTAATGCACTAGGAGATCTTTGTAGAGTGCAGAGGAACCTGGTGATTTTCTGTGCTGGTTTCCACCATTTCTCCTGCCTTCACTGAGGCACTGGGAGGTCCAGGTGTTGGTGTTTGCCTGCTGTACCACCTGGGCTTCAGGATCTCTTCCTGGTTGACAGTTGGGGGCTGTAGGGTTCTGACAGCTTACCTGGTATTGGGTTGGAATCAGCAAGGCTGGGACTTTAGGAAGACTCTAGGTTGCTTTCTTCAGCTCCTTTCAGATGAATGCTGTGCTTTTATGCCTGGGGCCCTTTGTAGTGCTGCTTCCCTTATTTTTGCTGAGGCACTGGGATAAACTGTTTGCTGGGCTGTTGCACTGCTGTTCCATGTCTTTCTTCACGTTCAGTTTTTCTGGGTTTTTTTTTTTCTGGGCTGATATTTTCTGGCTTTTCAGAGGTTGCTAGGACAGGGTGAGAGCGACTACCTTTTTACTCCACCATCTTGGCTTTCAGAAGCAGAAGTAGAAACTTAATTTGTTGACAATGAAGATTGAAACTCAGACTCTGAAGAAGACAACAAAGTTAAAGCACTTACATCCAAAGCCTCTAAGAAAAATTTGAATTGAACTTAGGCCATGGAAGAGCTCAGAAAGGATTTTGAAGGTCAAGTAGGAGAGGTAGAGGAAAAATTGGAAAAAAATGAGAGTAATGCAAGAAAATCATGAAAAATAAGTCAACAACTTGCTAAAGGAGTTAACTAAAGAAAATAACAATTTGGGAACAGACTAGGCCAAATGGTAAAAGAGGTCCAAAAAGCTAATAAGAAGAATGTTTAAAAGCAGAATTGGTCAAATGGAAAAGAAATCCAAAAGCTTACTGAAGAAAATAATTGCTTAAAAATTAGAATTTAGGAAATGGAAGCTAATGACTTCATGAGAAATAAAGATATCATAAGAGAAAACCAAAATAATAAAAAAAGAAGACAATGTGAAATATCTCAATGGAAATACAACTGACCTGGAAAATAGATCCAGCACAGATCATTTAAAAATTATTGTACTACATGAAAGCCACATTCAAAAAAAAGAGCCTGAACATCATCTTTCACGAAAGTATCAAGGAAAACTTCCTTGATATTCTAGAACCAGATGGTACAATAGAAATTGAAAGAGTCCACCCATCACCTCCTGAATCAGATCCCAAAATTAAAACTACTAGGAACATTTTAGCCAAATTACAGGATTCTCAGGTCAAGGAGAAAATATTACAAGCAGCCAGAAAGAAATAATTCAGATCTCCAGGAGGGCAAAGGAACTAGAATTACAACCAAGAATAACCTACTCAGAAAAGCTTAGTATTATCCATGAGGGGGAAAATGGACATTTAATGAAATAGGAGAATTTCAAGCATTCTTGAGAATATACCAGAACTTAATAGAAAATTTGACTTCCAAATACAACACTCAGGAGAAGCATGAAAAGGTAAAGAGGAAAGATAAATCATAAGCTACTGATTAAAGTTAAACTGTTTATATTACTATATAGAAAGATGATATTTGTAACTTATAAGACTTTTCTCATTATTAGGGTAGTTAGAAGGAGTATATATAGACATAGAGAACAAGTTTGAGTTGAATATAAAGGGATGATATTTAAAAAATAAAATTAAAGGGTGAGAAATGAATGTACTGGGAGAAAGAGGAAGGGAGAGGTAGAGTAGGGTAATTATCTTACACAAAATAGGTAAGAAAACACTTTTATAGTGGAGAAGAAGATGGGGGATGTGGGGGCAAGTGAGTGTACCTTACTATCATCAGAACTGGCTCAAACAGGGAATAACATACACACTCAATTGAGTATAGAAATCCATCTCACCGTACAGAAAAGTAGGGAGGAAAGGGATAAGAGAAGGAGGGAGTGACAAAAGGAAGGGCAGATTAGGGAGAGAGTAGTCAGAAGCAAACAGTTTTGAGAAGGGACAGCATGAAAGGAGAGACAGAACTGAATAAACAGGAGGAGGAATGGGATGGAGGTAAATACAGTTAGTTTTTCACAGCATGACTATTATGGATGTGTCTTACATGATTCTACATGTATAACTTATATCGCATTGCTTGCCTTCCCTGTGAGGAAGTGGGGTGGAAGGAAGAAAGGGAGAGAATTTGGAACTCAAAATTTAAAATGAATGCTAAAATTGTTTTTGCATTTAATTGGGGGAAAAAAACTAAATAAAAAATATTAAAGGTATGACCATTTTTGCTTTTGGCAGAGGAGGAGTGGGTCATTGAACATGAGTAAGTGGAGGAACTGAGGTGTTAGGGTGTTTGAGGGATGATCAGTATGTATGTTGAAATCCCCTATCATAAAGTCAGGAATTGGGGAGGAGAAAAAGAGTATGAGTCAGATACTGAACACATTGATGAAAAGAAAAAGTAAAGAAGTTCACATTGAGTGGCCACAATTTTATCCAGGAAGAGAATCAAGATCTTCAGATGAGAGGTCAAAGAGGATATGTAGGCAACTTGAGCAAGAACAGAGGAGAAGGAAATAGAAGGTTTGTAATAGTTGCTGTGGGGAGTGAGAGAGGGAATCATTTAGGGAAGAATAAAGTAATTTACTGCCTTGCTGGAGTGAAGGCCAAGTTGAAGTTGGATAACATAATTTTTTGTCTAGGCAAAGGGGTTAAATTACTTGTTTAGGGTCACAGAGCTAGTAAGTGATAAGTGTCTGAGGTCATATTTGAGCTCAGGTCCTCCTGATTCCAGGGCTCATACTCTATCCACTCTGCCACCTGGCTGCCCCTGATAACATGATTTTGTAATGTGTCTAGTTAGTGCACTTGTGACATTTCCTCCCAGTTTCATTCAGTAGCTCATGAGGAACAGAAAAGGTTTATGATGGGAGTAATCTTGGGCTAAAGTTTGAGAAGAAAAGAGCAAAGGGACAAAAAATTCAAGAGCAGAAAACACCGTAGAGGTGAAAAGGCTGTCTCTTTGTTTAAGAGTTTAGGAGTAAACTGAAATCAGAGTGTGGGTAATGGCCTGAGAAATACTGAATGGTAGTGAGATTATAGTCATGATGAGGAAGATAAATATGTTCAGTAGGGATGAAGCAGAAGGAGCAGTGGAATAGGAGGTTATGGAGAAAAGGTTATGGTCAAGTAGGGGATTGTCAGGTTTCTAGTCAAGGAAATAGTGTGATAATGGCAAAATCTAGTTTGTAATCATGCAAAGTGTGTCTGAGGGGGAGTGAAGTAGAAGATCATGGGTCTTGAGGAGACTCAGACAATGGCAGTTGAGGGAGAACCTGAATAGATATTAAAGTCCTTAAGTAAACCAGTTGGTCAGGAAAAGAAGATGGCAAACCAAGTGTTAAACTCCTTTAGAAATGAGGAAGAATGACCCATGGACTGGTATATTACAGTTACCATAATTTTGATTGGGTGGAAAATTTTAACTGAATGGACTTTGAAACAAAAGTGAACTGAAGGAAACCAATGAATAGCAAGGAGTTTTCTGCCTGCCTCTCTAGGAACCGCATGAGAAAGTAGGGGGAGTGAAAGTAAACCCATGTTGGAGAGGAAAATCAAGGATTCAGTGTAGTCAGAAGGAAGCCATGACTACATGAAGGTTGATAGATGGGAAATATATGAGGGGAAAAGGTGCTGAATGAACAGAAGTATGTTCAATGTGGAATGGCAATTGCAGAGGATACAGTGGAAAGGGTGGCCAAATTGGATTGGAACATGAATGGGATCAGACTGAGGGAAATGGAAATGAAAGAATATGAAGAGGGACTGCAGACAGTTTTCTCTAAATGTCCACATTTGCTTTAAATGTCCACATGTTCAGTTTACTTTAGCAGAACAGAATAGAAGTTATAGGGGTAATAGTTGGTGGTGGATGGGGAAGGAAGCTCAAAGGCTCCAAACATTGATGCAAATATAGCTCAATAGGGCCTGAATCTTCCATTAACTGAGAGACAACAGGAGGAGATAGAAAGAAATGTATTGGGCGATGTGGGATATTGCTATGTGGAAGTCACACAAAGAAAAAAATATGGGGCATGGTGGATGTGAGTAAGCTGAAAGACACAATCAACCAGGGACTCTGAAGTTATATGTGAGTAAATGATGCCATTAAGGAATGTTGTGATAGGAAAAGAAGATGGATTAGTTACATGGAAAAATAAAAGTCTCTCACTGGGTAGTCACTGTGCTCTAATAATACCTTGGTTATTGCATGAATGGTCTGGGAAGAACTCCAGAATATTGTGCAAATGTCTTATAAAAAACTTTGTGGAGAATATGGACAATAATTGCACAAATGGACAGGCCTGGATGGATTATGTTCTGCATCACTGACAAAACTTCCAAATGAATGAGATTATAAATTCACGTGAGCATTTGAGTAAGAAAAGCAGTCATCTACTAAGTAACCTACTGTAAAGCCTTATCTACATGTGGAGGTGACATTGATATCTTAAATGCTATTCCAATGTAATATGAGTTCTGGCAGATCTTATGTTCTATGATTCTAGGTCCAATCAAACCAGAAAGACTTTGATTAAGACCTTCACAATGGAGAGGTTTATCAACAATAAGTCAGGTACAAAATGAGGATTGATTTTGGGGAGCTGTCACAGCTATTCAAAGATCATTTCCTTATGTATGGAGGTATTCTTATTTGGAATAATAGAGCAAATACACACTCTTAAAATCAATTGACTAATAAGACTTCATAATCTACCTACTTTGTGTAAGGCACTATATTATGTGCTAGGGATCCAAAGACAGAAAATTAAATAGTGTTTGTCCTGAAAGAACACATATCCTTTTGAAAGAGATAAAATATCCATATACAAATAAATGTAAATTAAATACAAGAGGATTTGGTGGATGAATTTGACCTATAAGTTAAAAAATCTTATGAAGTAATGACATAGCATAAATAAAAACATACAGAGATAGGAGGGAGCCTAAAAAACCTTTGGCAGACTGTTGGAAATCTGTATTTCTCACAACACCTTTTTATTCAGTTCAACAAATCTCCTTTGTTTGAAGAAAATACAATCTTTCGTATCATGTCCATGAAGGCTTGTTTCACTTGCTGATTCCTTAGGCTATAAATGAAGGGATTTAACATGGGGGCTACTGATATATTAAGCACAGCAACTCCCTTGCTCAAAGAGACTCTGTCCTTTGCTGACGGTTTGATGTACATGAAGATGCAGCTACCATAAGAAATGGAGATAACAATCATGTGAGAAGAACAGGTGGAAAAAGCCTTTTTCCTCTGACTGGCAGAGGGGATCTGCAGAATTGTCTGGATGATATATATGTAAGAGAGAATTATTAATGCCAGTGTAAACATGAGAGTCACTGTAGCCCAGGAAATGCCCATTGTCTCTAAGAATTGTGTATCTGTGCAGGATAGTTGTAAGAGGGGAGAATAATCATAGGTGAAATGGTCAATTATATTATCAGCACAATAGTCAAGCTGCTGCATAAGAATAATTGCTGGGAAGATGATCATAAATGAAACCCACCATGAGCAGAACACAAGCAAAGTGCAGACTCGGTTGCTCATGATGGTTGTGTAATGCAGGGGTTTGCAGGTGGCAACGTAGAGGTCATAGGACATGGCCACTAAAAGGCAAAATTCAGTTACTCCCAAGAGAATGAAGAAAAACAGCTGACCCATACAGCCATTGTAGGAAATGATCTTATCCCCAGTAATAATGGTGCCCAAGAATCTGGGGACACTGGCAGTTGTAAAGGAAATTTCCAAGAAGGAGAAATTCCGGAGGAAGAAATACACTGGGGTCTGGAGGTGAGAATCCAGCAGGGTGAGGATGATGATAGTCACATTCCCAGCAATGCTGAGTATGTAGGCCAGTAAGAGAAAGAAGAAAATGACCATTTGAAGGTCTGGGTCATCTGACAATCCCAGGAGGATGAACTCTGTCACATGTGTGTGATTTTTCATGTTTGTTTTCTCTCTTCTTTAGTACATCTATAATAAAGAGAAAGCAGAACTAAAAAAAGAAAGAAACAGAAAACTTATATATGGGCTATACTTGAAATGGAGCAGGGATGAAATATTAGAATTAGTATTCATTCAGTCACTCAAACATTTTTTTAAGTTCCTGTTTTGTTACTTTAGTGGGTATAATGAGGTTACAAAGGTACGTAAGACATGTTTGATACTTTTAAGGACCTTAACACAATTGGGAAATACGTACGAAAATAAAATGCAAGGTAAAATGTCTTTAAGTACTATATGCCTCCAAATGCAATAAGGACTTTCTTTTCCTGCTTAACCTACTATTTCAGGTCATCTGCCATTGTACAACAATTTACTTTTTTAGGCTTATCTTATAATACCATTTTTTATATGTGGTACCTTCCAACCAGGCTAGAACAACTTAGCATATACTTCAACATATGCCTCAAACTTTGCACTTTGTTCAAAATCCTCCTTCCCTATGTATGAAATATCCTAGTCCTCTCTCCCTCCTCCATTGCAACCCATTATGTTATGTCCAATTTAAGTCTGCTTCAGTTTCCCCATTTATATGGAGATAATAATACTCCTCTGTTCTTAGTAATAAACTTCTCTCCCTCCAACTCAAATGCAATTTGTGCATGTTTGATGCCCTTATCATGTATCATATTGGATTTTACAGTTTTGTATATTCCATATACCTCTACTAGACTGCAACCATGAAATTAAGGACGCTCTCCTGTCATCCACACTTCTAATTTTGTTACCATCACCTATCTGATATTTCTAGGAAGAGTGAAAAAAAAAAAGGAGTTAAGAAAACCAAAAAGGAACACCTGGCTAAGCTGTAGGAAGCCAAGGAAGCTATGTATAATTAGGAACAGACTTCTTAACTTCCATTCACTATTATCACTTTTCTCCAAGTTATTAACTTTATTTTTAAATACAAAACAATTGTATTACAGGAATCTTTCTCTATAATGACATGCTCTCCGGTAAAGTTCACAACAATCTGAATTTCTATAAAGAGAATTTCTTCTAATAATTTATTTTAAATATTACAGTTGAATTTCCATGTGAGGGATAAAAGGAGAAAAGTGAGGCTAAAACTCCTAATAGTTTCAGTTGAAATTTTATATAAAAGGAATTAAAATGTTTACCAGTGTAGGATGTTAGATAATAGAATTTAAAGTTGGAAAGGCCACATGGATCATCTGATTTACTTCTCATTATACAGATGAGGAAACTGAGCAGAGAGATGAAGGGATTGCTCAGTCACAAGGACAATAAGGAGCTGTTTTTACTATAACACTCACCTTCTATAGCCTGTACTTGTAGTATCAATCAGTTTGTCTATTTATCTGTCTGTCTAATTCTCTCTCTCTCTCTCTCTCTCTCTCCTCCTTCTCCTCCTCCTCTCTCTCTCTCTCTCTTCTCTCTTCCTATATATCAATCATCTATCAATAAACATTTATCACGTGCTTACTCTGCACCAGGCACTGTGCTTATTGCTAAGGATACAAAGAAAGTGAAAGACATTGGTCTTGCCCTCAAGAAGTCCATTCTCATCAGCTGGAATATACTAGAATAATACTAAAACATTTCTAAAACCCTCCTTCCCTCTGCTGACTAATGTCTGGGACACATACCTAAGCATTCTATTACTCCACACTTTCACCTTCATGAACTGATGTGTATTCCCTTCCCTAGAGTAGGTGTCTGTACTTTCTTTTTTCTCACTCTGTAAGAAACATATAGTATAGCAGTAGACACAGAGCCAAGGGCAGGGATTAATAAGAACTTAGTTCATATCCCACCATAGACACTTACTAGTTGTGTGACCTTAGGCAAGACCCTTAGCCTCAGTTTCCTCGACTGTAAAATGGTGACTGTTGTGAGTCTCAAATGAGAAAACACTCATAAAAAGTGCTCAACACAGTGCTTGCCACATAGTAAATATCATATGAAAATGTATTTCTTTCCTTACTTTGCCTTGTGTGTATCTTTACTCAGCCTGTTAGACTTGGGCTGCAATGTTATACACACTATTTAATTCTGAAAATTCCTGAAGTTTAAAAGCTTCAAATTTTATTGCATACTTTTTTCTACTTATCATAGATATTAGTATTTCATTAACTATAAATCACTACATACATATGTACAAGTATTGCTCAAATATCCTAACTTCCCAGTTCCTCAATCATCTTAAATCCCATGGCTTACTTTTCTCTTCTATCTTGGTCACATACAAGGATAGTCATATCCCAGGTCTTAGCAACAGCTCAGTTTTATGACTTCCACCAGCTCTGTTCTGCAGCAGGCAAATAGGAATACAGGGCAAAGACTCAAGGCATATAAGGGGAAAAGACAGGATGGAATTCCATGAATAATCTGTAGGATTGAGATTGTGGAGGGAGGAAAATGAAATTAGAGCAGAAAGTGTTGAGGGGTGGTGATATTATCAGTCATGATAATGAGGTTCCATTACCCATTCAAAAGCATTCCTCTTTTATGTTCAACATTCTTACATACCTCTCTCTTATCATAACTTCCTTTTAACTAATTGAGGAATTGAAGTGGTACCATGGATGGAACTTGGGACCTATAGTCAAATATGGCCTCAGAAACTTCCTGACTCTGTGACCCTAGGCAAGAAACTTAATCACTGGGTAAGTCTGCCTCAGTGTCCCTATGTATAAAATAGGAATAGTAATAGCATCTATCTCCCAGAATTTTGAGGACTATTTATAAAGTATTCTGCACATTTTAACTAGTATATATATTAGTTTTAATCATTTCCATCTCTCTGAATTCCTTACTCCTCCTAAACTTCTTTCTCATCATGACTTCCACTCATAAGATCACAGATTAAGAGAAGGAAGAAAATTAAGAGATCACTTAGTTCACACCTTTACATGATATTCTTTCATGTTATCATCAATGTTCGGTCTTACAGATAATAAGTAATAAGATTGTACATTTCATGGATAATATTAAGGTATTATTGCTATTATAATAGTGGCATTCTGGAAACAGGAACACTGTCATTATTCTGAAATTCAAAGGAGTGACTCTGGTGGAGGGAAATTAAAAGCACATATATAACAAGAAGGGCAATGCTGAGATGGGAGACTGGGGAGATATCTTGGAGTACAAGTAGTATCCTGAATCTTGCTTGTTGAAATCACATTGCATATCTTTATGTTGCCTCAATTATTTTGGGCAGTCATTTAACCCACTGGATATTACTTTCCTCATCTGTAAAAGGAAGGGATAGGACTTAGATTACCCTACATTCCCTTCTTCTTCTAAATCTATGATTCTACAATTTCCCTTAATAAATTTTGAATTGGTCTTTCACTTCATCATTTCAATTCCTTTACTTTTCATAGCCTTTCTCTGAATGCTCATTTTCCCTGATGAAATCAACTGACTTCCACTGTTTCTTGGTTCTATTTAATGTGTTTCTTATTCTCTTAGTCATGCTTTATACTAAGCTTTATGAGAATCTCTTATAGCTTCCATAATTACTTTGAATGTTAAATTCACTTCCCTCTCATGCATCATGGTATAGTCAAGACTCTCTTCTATGAAGCTCCTTTAGAAAATATAAAAAAATGAAGACTAAAGAAATCTACAAAACTCTATGGTTACTCCTCCCTGTCATTACCTTCCTTTTCTTTCATAATATCCCTAGGATTCAATTTCAATTCAATAAAAAATAATTAAGTATGTATCATGATCATTGAGGGAAGAATAGAGATATATTCTTGTTTTATCAGTGTTCAGGGCAGTGATTCCATTCTATGTTTTGGACAGTCACCATTTCAGGTTAATGATAGCAATAACCACTTTAAATTTTTTATCCATTATTATTCATCTGATAGAAAGACAAGTTCTCAGGTAATCCTAATGAAATTTTATGTGATTGATTTTTACTAGGTTATTTTATTACATTCTTCATTATTACTTCAGAGAGCTCATTTTCCTAAGTCTTTTGAGAAAATTTATTTCTCTTTCTTCCTATCAAGATGGGAATTGTAAGCTCCCAGTATATGTACATTTTATTTAAATTCACTTAAGGTGTTCTAGAATTTAAAGCTGATGTAGAACTTTGAGATCATTTTTTCCATTTTCCTCATTTCAAACATTAAGAAGCAGTTGTAGAGAGGTGAAGTCACTTGTCCTGAATCATATGGCTCCTATGAGAAAGGACTTATGGCCAGACCCTCTTATTCTTAATCCACAGTTATGACCAATAAATTTTTTTTCTGAAGGTTTATGATACTTCATATTAGAAGCAGTGTGTTACAGTGAAAAGAACACTTTATTGGGGATCAAGGGACTTTTATCCAAATCTTGGCTTTGTCACTTAATACTTGTTTGACCTAAGGAAAGTCATTTAACCTCTCTAATTCTCAGTTTTCTCACCTAAACAATTAAGAGGATTGAATCTGATGACCTCTTTGGACTCTCCAGCTCTAAATCTATGATCCAATGGAATAAAGAATAAACAATAACAATCTCCAACATTATTGCCACATAGGCCAGAATTAATAAAAAAGCAATTGAGAAGAAAAGGACACACTAGAGATCATAATTGATTTTTGTTCTGTGAATGCCATGAATAAAATTGCTTTTGTGAGGACATGCGAATATGTGTGGTCATATTTAAGAAGAAACACACACATACACACACACACACACACACACAGAGTTTTGCTACAATACCAATGGAGAGAAGAAAAAATTGGATATTAAACATATACTTACTTTTTTTGGCAGTCCTTGATAGATTGCTGCTCGACATTTCACCAAAATATTCTACATAGTTTGCCTAAAAACTGAGAAGTAATGAGTTAATGCTGACTATGTGGTCAAGCTTGCCCACTACCTCTCACATACATACATGTTTCCTTAGACACTCTCTGAGACTCCTGCTTATTGTCAGCCAACAAGGCATGTCTTGAACCATTTTCTAC